ACCCCACTTCATGAAATGTTGGCACAGAGGGCTCTTGTTGATTTGCTGGCCCGCCTTCACTTAGGGCGGGCACGAGGCTTGATGGGGCCTTAGCCAAGAACATGTACATCATGGCAAGGCCCCTACTTGAGGGCTCAATCCTCACATTCCATCCCCCTTAGCTTCGAAAGTCCGCTGAGATGCTACTTCGCAGGTGCCTTCCCTTTCAGTAGCCTCTCATATTCTGCCACCAACTGAGGAGCTGTCTCAATCAGTTCCTCCCTGGTAAACCATCGATCTCCTTTCGGATCCGTATGATGCCTGAATCTGACGCGGTACTCTCTCTTGGGTTTAGGAGGTCTTCCTCGACCCAGCGGCTTCGGAACAGGCATATCCCTGTGATCCACAATGTCGTCGATATCCACTTGTCCATCCATGGTTGGGGGCAGCATCGATCTCCTGGAAGGGAATTGATCTATCTCAGCGAAAGGTGCAAGCTTTGAGGCATGAAAGACTGGGTGAGTGCGTAGGTGTCCAGGGACACGAACGACATAAGTGGGACCATCCATCTCATCTCCCACTATATCCAGGACTTCCCAGGGACCAAAGTACTGAGGCATTAGTTTGCGAGAGATTCTGAACTCCTGTCCTAACTCACTAGCCTTGACCCAGACTCGTTCCCCTACTTGAAATGTGGACTGTCTGCGATGTTGATTCTCAAAAGCAATCATTGCTTGATGAGCTTTCTTCATATGCTCGACAGCCTCTTGCAGCAACTTCTCATACTGCACATTATACTCTAGTGTGCCTGGAGTTGCAGCGGGTCGGTTTTCAGGTACGAGGAAGTCTAGTGCTGATCTAGGCTTCCATCCCAAGTGCAACTGATTAGGACTAACGCCGGTACTACTATGGATAGCATTGTTGTACAAGCTGGCGATGAGAGGCAACTGCTCATCCCAATCATCTTGACTGGGCTTGATGTAATGCCGCAGCAAGTGTTGTACAACTCTGTTCATTTGTTCGGCTTGTCCGTTGGCTTCGGGATGATTCCCTGAAGTCATTTGAAGTTGACTGCCCATCTGTTCTGCAGTCTTCTTCCATAGTTCACTTGTGAATCGGACATCTCGGTCACTAACGATTGACTTTGGTAAACCAAAGTCACGCACCCAGTTGTCTTTGAACAACTTGTTGACGAAGTCAGTTCTTGCGGTCTCTGGCATAGCCACTAGTCTAGCATACTTGGTGAATCGATCGATGATGACGAAGATGTGCCTCTTGCCACTCTTACTAGTCACCAGGGTGTCCATGAAATCCATGGAGACACTCTGTCCTGGACCAGCAGGGATAGGCAAAGGCTTCAACAACGCAAGCGGTGCTTGAGTTCACGGCTTATCCCGCTGACAGACCTGACAGGTCTCTACGTACTTCTTTGCGTCATCAAACATACCAGGCCACCAAAATTGTTGTACTAAGTTAGCACTCGTTTTCTTGTAGCCAAAGTGCCCAGTTGCGTCATGGGATTCGCCTAAAAATAAACTACGCAAGGGTTCACTAGATGAAACTACTAACCTTTTTATTCCTGCCTTATCAAGATAGAGTAACCCGTCCACCATCACAAACTCACTTTCCGTGGCCTTGTCTTTTGCCTGAAGCTTGCGAATGATGTCCATCGTGACAGGGTCTTCCTGATAGGCTCCCACCAATGATTGAGTTACTTCTTCACATACGCCAAAGTCAGAAACTAGCGCACCTAGGTAGTCTGCTCTATGTGATAGCGCGTCTGCAACCTTGTTGTACTCTCCCTTCAGGTACTCAAGCTTGAAGTCATATTGGTCTATGACCTCAATCCATCGCTTGAGTGCATCAGAAAGAGCCGGTTGACTCTTGATCCATTTGAGGGTCTGATGATCAGTCCTCAGATAGAAGAACCTTCCCAAAAGGAAGTGTCTCCAATTGACAAGTGCCTTATAGAGAGCATAGAGTTCCCTTTCGTAGGTGGACTTAGCCAACTTCTTCGATGGCATCTTCTTACTCATGTACTCAATTGGTCTCAACTTCTTCCCATCCTGCTGATCCAGCACTGCGCCAATGCCGTATTGGCTTGCGTCAGTGGTCACTATGAATGGCTTCTGCGGATCGGGAACCATGAGGACCTCATGATTCATGCGTGCATGCTTCAATCTCTTGAAAGCACCCTCGCACTCATCACTCCAGTCCCACGGTGTGTCAAGTCGAGTTAGATCAGTCAAAGGAGAGGCGACTGTAGAATAGTTCTTAACGAAGTTTCTATAGTAGCCGCACATTCCTAAGAATGACCTGACCTCAGTGACTGTCTGAGGTCGTAGCCAGTCTCGAATACTAGCCACCTTCGCATCTTCCGACCTAGTTCCCTCCGCGGATACTTCATGACCCAAGTATAGTATCTTAGTGCGACCGAACTCACACTTCTCTAAGTGTTGTCGCAGGAGTGAGAGAACTGTCTCAACGTGTTTTGTGTGCTCCTCGACAGACTTACTAAAGATCAGAATGTCGTCTAAGTATACCAAGACAAACTTATCTAAATGGTCATGGAAGATCCGATTCATAGCGTGCTGGAACGTACCCGACGCATTACAAAGACCAAAGGGCATCACTACAAACTCATACAGACCATAACGCGTCTGAAAAGTTGTCTTGTGTTGGTCCTCAGGTCTTATTGCGATCTGGTGATATCCGGATTTCAAGTCTATCTTACTATAGTACTTGCATCCCTGCACCCTATCCAATAGGTCGTCTATGCGAGGTAGAGGCTCTGCGTTCTTCACAGTGATGGCATTGAGGCCTCTATAGTCAATGCACATCCTCAAAGTACCCCCCTTCTTCGCTACGAATAGAACGGGTGATCCGTAAGGGGAAGTACTAGGCCGAATCCATCCCTTCTCTGTCAGCTCCTTTAGTTGCTTCCGAAGTTCATCTAACTCGGCAGGGGCCATCCTATAGATCCTTCCCTTTGGGGTCTTACTCCTTGGAATGATTTCTATAGCGTGGACGACTTCCCTATCAACAAACTCCTGAGGGCTCTTCGAACAGATCAGGGAACTTGACAACGACGCGTTCTATCTCTGGGGGTGTTTTAACGGCCTCCCCCTTCTTAGAGACATAAACAAGGTACATACCTTCCTCTTGGTTTTGCTTATAGTAGTTGTAGAACGCGGATGCGCACAAGCAGCCATAGGTATCTATAATACTACTGGCCTTGAACTTGGTCAGTCTGACGGTTCGTCCATCGGGCAACTTGTGTTTGAGCACCTTCTTATCCCAGTCGAACTGGGGTTTAGCAACTTCGAGGTAGTACATGCCTAACAGCATATCGAATGGCAAGTCGTCGCTAACCAAGAACGAGATCTTATGGTTAAGCTCACCTTCTCCATAGGAGAAGGTACAGACTACGTCCTTGATGTAGTCTGTTACAATCATGCGCTCCTTGTTGGCCAAAGTAGATGCTACTGGTCTACTAAGGTGTCGTACCCGGTCTTGTAGGTGCAGCCTTTCCAAACAGTTGCGCCTTATATAATTCCGTGTGGATCCGATGGGTATGAAGGCACCACATTTGCGACCTCCTACATCCACTTCCACCACGAAATGTTCCCCTCTAGGACCCTTCTTTAGCGCCACCCAAGACTCGCGAGGGTCCTTGTTTGACCATTCGCCTTCTAAGTCTTCTAAGGCTTCAGACACATCTAACGTACAGAGCATAGTTTGGTCTAGATGCGTCTGCGGGGTGACTAAGGAGTCAT